CCCCCCCGCCCCCCCCGGCCCTCCCCCCCCAGGCCATGGAGGACGCCCATCTGGACGCCATCCTGATCCTGGGGGAAGCCTTCGCCTCGGAGGGGCCCTTTGACTTCGGCACGCAGAGCACCACCGAGAAGATCCACAACCTGATCCCCATCATGCTGAAGCACCGCCTCGTCCCGCCCCCCGAGGAGACCTACTCCCTGCACAGGAAGATGGGGGGCTCCTTCCTCATCTGCTCCAAGCTCAAGGCCCGCTTCCCCTGCAAGGCCATGTTCGAGGAGGCCTACAGCAACTACCGCCGGCGGCAGGCCGAGCAGTAGCGGGGTGAGGCGGGGGGACTGGGGCGTCCATGCGGGCGGCTCCGGAGAGGCCGCTGCTTCTAGGCGGTTCTGACCGCTAAGAGGGCGCGGGGCAAGCCGCGCGGGACTGCACACGGGGCCCGGCCGCGCCGCCAGTCTGCGCGTGCGTGTGGAGTCTCTGAAGCAGGTAAAGATAAGACGGCCTTCTCTCCTTTTCTCCCTTTCGGGCCCGGGGATGTTCCTGATGGAATGTTCGCCGGAAGGTGAGCGCGTTCCCCGGGAACCTCTGCCGCCGGAAATACCGAGAAGCCCCCGGATTTTTACTGACCGTGAAGCCTAAGGCTCGTGTGTGTGCTTCTAGAATGAGATTTGTGTTTTCTGCCCTTCCCTCCAGCCTGTGCTCTGAGCAGGCCCTGCCCGCTCCCTGGCTGGTCTGTATACTCCCGACGCGTGGAAGTTTCCGCAGAACTGACGCGGCCCGCGACGGGTGGGAGTGATCCCGCCCTTGTCTCTGTGTGGGAAGTTGGTGTGGGGCCCCCCCTTCCCCCTCCAGGCCCCAGGGCTTTTGTGGAGGAGACGGAGGTGCAGATGGCGCCTGCTTAGAGCTGGGGGGTCGTTACAGGCTAATTTTTGTACAATTCTTGTAATGGTCAGATTTGTTTCAATATTAAAAAGAACACCGAAACTCACCATCCCAGCACTGTGGTGTTCGTCCTTCCGCTGGGAGAGAGTCAGGGTCAGTGTCATGCCCCGGAAAGCTCTGTCTGCGTTCAGCACGGGAAGAGAGGGGAGGCAGCCGGGTGTCCCCCTCACCCTGGCCACCCACGGAAGGGCCGCAGCTACTCCGGAGACGCCTACCGGCAGGGCCTGCGCAGCCTGGGTCTCCGGGCCTCTTACAGAAAGTTGGCCGAGCCTGCCGCACACCTGCCTCTGTGACGAGGCGGCCGTTACACCCACAACAGTCGGGACCGTCAACTGTGTGTGAAATGGCACGGGGGGTAGGGGGGTGGGGAGCGGGTCTCAGCCAGTTTCACTTTACCTTGTTAAGAGCTCCCGGCCTGGCCTGCGTGTCCCCCGATGTGCCCTTCGTCCTGATCCGGGGACAGGGGCAGAGGCACTAAATGCAGGAAGCAGACAGAAAACCGGCCACCACCGGTTGGTACAGTTGGACGTGACAGCCAGGGGGGAACTGGCCACGCAGAGGGTCCTCAGCCTGGCAGCTGCACGCAGTGGGGCCGCCGAGGGTGCCTCGGGCGGGGCCTGGCCGGAGGAGATCGGACTGCTCCCCGGACCTAAGGAAGTCCTAGGTTCCGCGAATCCCGGGTCCTGCAGGGAGGGGATGGGGACGGGCCGGAGGCGGGACCCAGTAAGACCAGGAGTCAGTCACCTCTCCTCCGCCCCCCAGACGTTTCAGTCGGGGAGAACAGACGAAACAGTCACGTCCAACAGTTCCCTGTTTTATTGCAATACATCAAATTCTGGTTAATATCGAGACCAACATAAAATATTGGCGAGGAGTCTTGTTACATTTTTGACTGTCCCACCTTCAGTATTTCTGTGCAAAAGAATCCACACCATTGTCTGGTAGCAGAGAATCTCTTAGAAACTTCCCTAAAACATTGAGGGCATAAAACCAAAGAAAATCCAGAGTGATCAGAGGCCAACGCAACAGACTTTTTCCTTCCATACACACATTTGTCCGCATTATATTCTGAACAAAAAAATGATTACACCTAGGCCATGCAAAACTGTACAATATTACAATGAGAAAAAACCCTAAAAAATTTATAAAATAAATGATATTACACTATCAAACGAAAAGGCAGATTTTGTTTTCATGAAATCTCAAGGTCTGTTTTCGTCAATTGGCCCCATGAGCGACAGGGTTGCCCGTGTGTGGCAGTCGTCCTGGGGAGGAGGGCTGGCTCAGCCCGCTGGCCCCGGCTGACGGCTGACACCCGCTCCCGCCGAACCGGCCCTCTTCCCCGGAGGGACCCTGCAGAGATCTGGACTCAAGCGATCGTTCGAGTCCCAACAAGGGAAGGGGCTTCAGGGGGAGCTCGATGAACCGCCGTGCAGCTTGCCTGCTGGGTCAGGGGCCCGGCCAGGGCCACTGGGGGCGGAGGTGCCCGGCCTGTGCCCTGTGTGGCCGCTGAGCGTGCCCCTCCGCCCAGACACGGGTGGGGAGTTTCCAGGGCCCCACCCGGCCAGGGGGCCACGGTGTCTGTGACCAGAACGGCCCTGCTGTGCCCGGGGGCGGGTGTTCGGGACGCCGGCCCGCGCCTGCTCTGGCCCTTGAGTGATACCTGAGAGTCCTCGTGAAAGCAACCGGTCTCTCGCCGAAGTGCACGTGGCACTCACGACACAGATGTGACTCTAGCCACACGGAGGCCGAGTGGGGCCGAGTGCCAGCCAGGGAGTGACAGACTGTCGCCGCAAACAGGAATTTCGGATTCTCCCCAGAAGCCTGAGTACGAGGGCTGCGTGGGAAACTGAACGGACAGGCCCTTCCGGCCCGGGCTCCTGCCCTTCAAACTGCTCCCGGGACCGAGCACGCATCGCCCACGTACGTAGGGCTGTGGGAATCTTCCGTGATCAGGTGACGAAGAGGAAGGCTTTTGTATTTGGCAAAAAGAAACAGCCATGTACGCATATAATTTTATATACCCAAAGCACGCACAATGAAATTCGTGAGAAGTCGAGGGTAGACAACGGGTGGGCCAGACAGACCTAGCACCGAATACCAACGCGGAGAGACCAGCCGCGAGCGCCTCTCCGACCCTTCCTTCCTACTGCGAAACGAGCTCCGGCCGCCCTACCGGTTCTTAAAAGGTCCCGCGGGACGACAAATGACTTCGGACAGCGATGCCGCTGCCGCGGTCTCTGCTGCAGATCCCTTCCAATGAACAGCACGTGTCGTTTGCCCTGGGACCCGCCCCGCTCTTTCCAGGTCATGCCGAGAAGCTTCCGACGGCAACTGGCAACGGCTCTGTCCTTACGAGTGGGGTAAGCCCAGTGGAAGGATCGTTATCTCGGGGACCCCCCCCCGCCCCCCATCACCCTCGGAGCTGCTCCCGCAAAGCCCTGCTGTCAGAATCTGTCACACCGGGGACCGCTCTGTAAGCCTGCTGTGGAGGAAACAAAAAGTGCTGGGGTGCAGTTCCCTGAGAGCCGGGCTGCGGGCCAAGCCTTAGGGGGCGCTCTGCTCTGTCTGCCCGCCATGACTCACTGCAGTGGGGTCCAGGCTTCGGGCAGGGGGGGGTACTTTGATCCTGAAAGCATCCTTTAAAAAATAAGCACCTACAGGCAACAAAAATTCACACGTGGTTGTCACAGCTATAAGCTAAAGGCTCAGCGTGGGGGTGCGGCGCGCGGGGAGGGGAAGGGCCAGGGGAAAGG